AACTAAATGTGTGTGAATTTTCACTATATGTTGAATTTAAGTACGATATGTTATTTTGATATAATGTTATATGTTATTAGTCATATGTTAGATGAGATTTGATATGATTTATAAATGTATGAATAATATAATGAATTTTTCATATATTCGACTAAACCGAAGACATGAACCTCAACCATTTGCTCGACCGTGCCAACGATATAAACCGTTAATATCAATTTGTTTGTCCTTGTCCTAAAAGGCATATACGTTCTTCTTTATTATTCGTGTCCAAACAAATTAACAAACCAAACAGGAAGGCATATATGAACACACTATATGGTTTACATTTTAGGTTTGGCTGTTGGGTATTAAGAATGTTGTTTATTTGTGTATGTGTTTATTTGTTCAGAATCATCATCCACGAACACGTGCAAATTTGTGAAATTAAATCTATAGTTCCTCTCTCGTATGCTACTTGGGGATTGAATTTAAACATGATTTATTAATTGAAGTCGTCTCTTCACCTTTGGAATTTGCAGGAATTTAGTAATGTTTTATAGGATTGGTGTTTTGGTTTAAAAGAAAAAATAATTATGATAGAAATTGAACTATGATACAAATTTAGTTTGCATCTATACATTTTTTAAATATTTTTCAATTAATACAATTTATTCGCCAAACATTTTGAAATACAAAGTATTATCCAAACGTTAACTCTACGTTAGCAAGTTTTGTTAGTAACGGTGACTTGCAAACATGAAGCTGAGTTGGAAGAGACATGTGACGGTCAACGTTCCAAAATTAAACTATTTTAATTAAAAATAGAGTTCCAAAATTATTATCGATAACATACAAATGACTAATTTTTGTGTGCTTCACAAAAGATTGGACTTTGCTACGGTGACATGCATGTCACGGTGACATGCACTTTCCGGTCGACCTCATATAGGATCAGGTCGACCTAATCAGTTGTTTCAGTGTACAAACAGTTTCATGGTGCCTACTTTGGAGATTCATATCTTACAATTGGCTAGATGGAAATTGGAGATTAAAGGCTTGTTTTGAAGCTGAAGTGTCCCTCTACACATTAAAGTACTTGGGAGCTCAATAGAAAGTCTAGAAGACCATTTTTGAACCTGACCAAAAGGCTATGCCAAAACTGGGAAACTGCCTGAAAATGGCTAAGTCTGGCAACGTGTTTGTCAAGCCTACTTTGGAGCTCAATTTGACAAGCATGGATGCGAGTCAAGTCCAGGGGCCTTTACCACGTTAAATTACGTATTTTTTTATACAAAGGCAAGGCATTGAATGAAAGATTGAATATCTTTAAGGCTTCAAACAAAAGGCTCGAAGTTGCTACGAAGGCTGTTTTTCTGGCAGCTTGCTTGTGCTCGAAGTCTGCCAGAAAAACAGCCTTCGTAACAACTTCGACCCTTTTGTTTGAAGCCTTAAAGATATCCAATCTTTCATCCAATTCCTTGAATTTGTATAAAAACATACCTAATTTAACGTGGTAGAGGCTCCTGGACTCGACTCGCATTCATGCTTCTCGAATTGAGCTCAAAAATAGGCTTCACAAACACGTTTCCAGACTTAGCCATTTCTAGGCAGTTTCCCAGTTTTGGCATAGCCTTTTGATGAGGTTCAAAAATGGTATTCTGGACTTCCTATCGAGCTCTCAATCACTTCAATATGTAGAGGGACACTCCAGCTTCAAAACAAGTCCTTAGTCTTCAATTTCCATCTAGCCAATTGTATGATATGAATATCCAAAGTAGGCACCATGAACTGTTTTTACACTGAAACAACATATTAGGTCGACCGGATCCTATATGAGGTCGACCGAATCCTAAATGAGGTCGACCGGATCCTATATGAGGTCGACCGAATTCTATGTGAGGTCGACCTAATCCTAACTGAGGTCGACCGGAAAGTGCAAGTCACCGTGACATGCATGTCACCGTAGGCACACCCCAAAAGATTTGGCTAATACTTTGTAGGTTTAATACCTTATTTTGGCCCGTGGTTTTTGAAATTGCTCGCCTCGCCCGAACTATACACCATACTTCCTTGATTGACCCGACACTGATTTTGACCATCGAATTGGACGATCAACTCCGTTGACCGTTAGTCAAACACGAGGTTACTTGCCACATAAGCAAAACCCAAAAAAAATAAATTGAATTTATTAAATTATTTTTGTTATCTAATAACAAAAAAATAATTAAAATTGAACATATTAATTATTATTGTTATTAAAAAAGAAAATAATTAAATGCAAAATTTATATTTTGGTTTTGTTGATGTGGCAAATGACCTGCCGTTTGACTAATGGTCAAGGGAGTTGACCATCCAATTTGAGGGGCAAAATCCGCGTAGGGCCAATCAAGAAAGTATGGTGCATAGTTCGGGCCAGAGGAGCAACTTCAAAAATAACCACGGGCCAAGGTAGAAATTTTGGGTATATTTTGGAGCAAAATAATGTATTAACCCTACTTTGTATTTCAAAAAGTTTGGCTAATAAATTATATGTACTAAAAAAATAATGATAAAACTGAACTTGTACCTTAACGTTGTGATACCATACAAGTTCAATTTGTATATCGAAAGCACAAATCCTTAATTTAGAACATAGTACTCTAGAATGTGTGTCCAATAAGGCACATATGAACACATTAATTCCCTATTAGTATTGGGCATATACAGTTGAGGAGAGACAAAGGCTAGTGTGTGTATATATGTTTTAGTTTGGAAGGTCAAAGGGATTAGTTAGCCGACTTCTTTATTTAATGTGTTTTTTTTTTTCCTACTCTTGCCAATAGGATTAGCCGACTTTGTTAATCAACTATATACCCTAACTATAATATGTAATTTGAAAATGAAAGCAAAGTAAAACACATGGTTAAATATGCTAATTCGTGTGGGTCAAGCAGGTGTCACACACACACATAATATATTCTATGGTCTATTTATATGGTTGATATTTAAAGTCAGATTCATCAGCCTCCAAAACAAAAAATGGTGATGACCTGGACCAACCTCACCATCTACGTGTCTGCCACTAATCAATATTCATTACTATGAAATTCATTGGCCTGGCCATGTCAAACTTGAAAATCTCCTCTCCCATTATATGCTTATTTCGTTTGATCGGAAATTGTGTCTATCTTGTTTGTATGTTCAAAAAGAGCAATTAATTCGCAATAGCATAAGAACCATGTCTCGCCTTTCTATCATCATATTAACTCTTATTTATAAATTTTACTATGATTTATAAAATCCATCTAATTGATATAACATGTTGAGATTTCTTTCTCCCTATTTCTAAAAAAAATGACTTTTATCTCATGAAGATCTTGGTATGTGCCTTTTATCCATTGTTGATACTTTGTCATCATAATTCATATGATTTTTTTTTTTGTAAAGCAATTAAGGGTTACCAATTAAAAATTTGCATTGTAGTACTAGTTTATGAGAAATGGCACATCTTGACTTGGCATTTCATCTACTTCTTCCTCTTCTTTTCTACTTAAAGGGGTATTACATTATCTAACTTTCCTAATGAAGGATTTTCAAAGACTCCATAGATTACAAAGAAAAGGAAAGTGTGAGTGAGTTTAATTTATAAAGTTTTTTTTTTTTACTAATAGACAACTTGTATTACCAAGGCAGAAAGCTAGCACAATTTACAATCCAAGTAGAAATCAACGATCAAAATTAAAACTATCTACAATCGCAAGCACGAACAAGGGTCTTCTTGGCCACATCATGAGCCACCCGGTTGTTACTCTTGCCAACAAAAGAGATCACAAAATTCTGATACTGTTGTCGACGACTCTTAATCTCCGCCAGAATCCTTCCTCCCTTCACGTCTCGAGCATCCATCATCTGAATGTTCTCAATAACCACTTTCGGGTCCCCACAGAACATCACCTCAGTAAGACCCTTCAAAGAGCATTACTACTATATTTTATGGATTGAACAACTACGAGTTGGATGGATTAATTGACAATGTGATATTCGTAGAGTTAAATAACTCATTCATTGTTCATGTGATATTTAAATGATAATTGGATTAAAATATATCATTTGGTAGAACCATGCACATATGGTATTTGAAAAAAAAACATAGGGGTAAAACGAGTATTTTGAAATAACTCTAAATAACTCATTTAAGGTTTATGTGAGTGGCATGTGCAATTTAGTAACACATAATAAATCGCATTATGCATTTGGCACTTAATGCATTGCGTTTGGAAATTGATATTTTGGCGAGTGGTTAATTAACAATTTTTTTAATATTTTGAATTAAAAAATAACGAGACGGTCGTTTGGATTGATCAATTGAAAAATGATACAATTTGACCAATTATTTCATTTTGTAAAACGAATCATTTAAAACGAGTCATTTTGAATTGTCTGCCTCCACCTCAAGATAATTATAATTGCCTTAAAATTGGTCAATTTGAAATTCACTAGACAGATTTGCTTCATCTAAATTTGTAATGCCAAATGGATCGATTTGACAGATTATCTCAAAATAAAACAATTGATTCAAAATTAATCCATTAGAATTACTCATCAAAACTAATCTTCTTACTTATATTAGTAATGCCCCAACACTCTTGCATCCGACCCTATATCGATTCCAATTGGTTATTGTACTACCGTACACTACAAAAAAAAGGGGCCTGTACCAAGGGTTTTATTGGCCTGTAGCAGGAGTTTTAACTCCTGCTATAAATTGTAGCAAGGGTTTGTACAACCTCTGCATCAACCCTCACTGGCGCTGGGCAACGGGACGGGACGGGATACCCGTCCCGTTTTAAACGGGTACCCAGTCCCATTTGGAGATCAAAGTCCATCCCATATCCCAAACCCATATGGAAAACGGGTACCCATTACCCGTACAGGACGGATAACGGATACCCATACTACCCATAAATACCCAAAGTATAAACCACTAACAAGGAACTCAATACTCTTAATCATCACCTGAGGGCTACGACAGGCGTGGAATGGAGGCGCAGGCGCGCAGTGGAATGGAGCTGTGGTCGTGTCTCGCGTGGAATAGAGGCGCAGGCGTGCAGCAGAGTGAGAAGGAGCTATTGAATATTTGAATGGAGGCGGCGCAGAGGAGAGGGGCTGAGAGGGAGAGCTCAGAGGAGAGGACGACCTGCGGTGGTGAATGAAGGAAGGCGAGCTAGGTCACGGCGTCACGCTCGCGGCTCGTCAGCCGTCTCTACTCTCTCGACCTGAAGACGACTCGTCCAGAATCCAGAGAAGCTGCGTCTCACTAAAAGAGTGAAAGGGTAAGGGCCCAAATGGAATTGAAATTGAAAGGGTAAGGGCTGGCCAATGGGTTCTGAATTGGGTTGGGCTGAAATAAATTTATGTCTTTGTATTGAATGGGTATAACGGGTACCCATATTACCCGCGAATACCCATATTAGGAATGTACAATCTCAAATCTCATCCATTTATAATATTACGGGTAATATGGGTACCAGTAACCCTTAAAAAACGGGATGGGTACGGGTATACCCAAATACCCATTTCCCGTTGCCCACCCCTAACCCTCACCTATGCTGCCCCTGCTATGGATAGCAGGGGTTTTGAGAAACCCATGGTGGAAGCACCATCCAAGGGTTTTAGCAGGGGTTAAAACCACATCTAGTCATACCAAGGGGTAGAACCCCTGCTACATGACAGTTTAAAATCCAAAGAGGAAATGTTCCTACCAAGGGTTCTAAACCCTGCTACATGCGTTGTTAAATTAGTTACGGTTAGAACCCTTGCTAGTGAATATTATAGCTTCATTTGACTTATATTTATTTCAAGAGTTTAAACCCCTGCTTAATTGGTGGCTAACATAAAAATAATTTGTGACGAAATCAGGCCGTCCCTAAAGAGAATGCAAAGCTGTCACTAAAAATAAATTCAAAGCTGTCACTAAATTGGACCGTCAATAAATTCAAAGCTCACCGGCCGCCTCTTTCATCCTCTTCTCCTTCTACGTCTACTTCGACATCACCGAGATCGACGACGTCAACACCAACGAGCTTTACAATGCCAGCCAGCTCTACCTCTCCTCCTCCGTCTCCATCTCCGGCATCCGCCTCTCCCTCACCCGCGTCGTCACCTTCGACCTCGCCTACAACGACTCCGTCGCCGACTCCTTTAACGGTGCCACCGTCCTCTTGGAGCACGTCGTCTCACAGCGCCACTCCCAGACCTTCTCCTGGAACCCCTGACCGGCGAGAAGCGCGGATTCACTCTCCGCATCCGGAAGAACGAAAAATCCTTAATCCTCGACTCCTACCTCGATTACATTATGGAGCGGGCGGTGGAGATTCGCCTCAAGAATTAGGATCGGCTGCTGTACACGAATTCTCGCGGCGAATCTCTGGACGCGAGGGGACACCCGTGGGAGTCGGCCCCATTCAATCGGGTGCTTCTAAATTAATTTTTAGGGGTTTTGTTTTTCTAATTCATTGATTTTGGAAATAAATAATAAAATAATTGAAATTGAAATTAGAGGGGTAATTGGGTTATTTTCCATCTCATTTGACGGTCACTTAACGGATAATTAGATGGAATGGTAGATTTGTTATGATTTAATATTAGAAGGGTATATTTGTACAAAAATTTAATAGAGGGTACTTTTTTTAATTTACCAAAGTAGAGCGGTACAAAATGCTATTAACCCTAGTTTTAATCATCTAACTTTCCTATTTTGATATATAATTCTATACTTTTAATCAAATCTTAAAATTTTAAATTCATATATCTAATCTAAGGATTGTTTTGGTTATATAGTAAATTATGTTTTTTAATCAAAAATACTAATGGGCCTTCATTTTCCATTTATAAATATTGAATGATGTGTTACATATTGAATGCATGATTAGTTTTTTTTTATAATTTCCTGATTTGTTATGAACATATTATAATAGTAATTATAGTTTAGAATTATGTTTTACTATCTCGAACAATGTCTTGTGATGCTAAAATAATAAAACATACTAAAATTTTATAATATTTTAATTTTCTTATGATGATATACTATAACTTCGATTCGTCGAAACTCATCAAATCCTGACTATGTCATTGTGCACGCCCCATTTATATGACACGGGCTACCCCCGAAATCTCCTTTCCCTATGTATCTACAATGACAGCAAGTCAACAACCAATAATCAGAAACAGAGGAAGTTAACTGTAATTAACGTTATCTTATTGGATTAGAGTAAGACAGAACCAGAGGACAAAGCCTTCTGTGATCGAAAGGTCTTGTGTTCGATTCCCGATGACCCCCATTTGTTAAGCACATGGTATTCTAGTTTTCAGACATGTGCAAACTTCAAGCCCTTGTGACTGGCTTTCGTTTGACGGGTAGGATCCTGTGCTTAAGCTTAGAAGCTTAAGCAAAATGCTTAAAGCCTTCCTATTGGCTGAAAGCATTTTAGGGGTCGTTTGCTTCAAGGATTTGGTACATGGATTTGGTACCAAAAAACCAACTATCAAGGATTTAGGTACAATCCGTTGTTTGCTTGCATCTTTTTTGGAGACCAAATCCGTGGGGCCCACGGATTTTAAGGGTCCAAATCCATGGACCCCACGGACTTATAAATCCCACATGTTGATGTGGGATTTGGAATATGGCATAAATCCTTGATGAGATTTTACCCATATACCCTCATGCACTTTTAATATTCCAAGGTTGCCCTCAAATTTAACTATTATACATTATAATTAACAATAAATGAATAATATAAACGTTCAATTAATGTGCAAACATGAGTTAGATTTTTATATCATTTCTTGTGTTCTAGTTTTCTTTGACTTTTTCATGGAACGTGTAATTCTTTGTTCTCCCGATTCTAATATATGTTGTTATATGTCACTTTTGAAAAAGAGGACAAAGAATTGGTAATTGATTATGTTACGTTAAAAGTTAAAACGGAATTTTCTCGTTTATTATTATTGTCCATGTGGCAACATTATGCTTATTAGTATGTATTGTACTTGTTTTGTGTACATATCATAAACATGTCAAACATATAGAAAATGATAGTAAGGTAACTTTGAAGTTTTGTCCTTGTTTTGTGTACATATCATAAACATGTCAAACATATAGAAAAGGGCAGTAATGTAATTTTTGACTTCAAACAGTAAATCCCACACCTTTAAATCCATGATAAAAACATCCCAACAAACAAAGGATTATTACAAGTCCATGATGCCTCAAATCCTTGATAAATCCTTGGGTTTTTAAATTACAAAACCCTCATTTTTAAATCCATGAAGCAAACGACCCCTTAGTTGGTTTATGGAAGGTAATTAATTAGTTTGTTATTAAGGGTAAACTAGGTATTCAGAAAAAATTACTAGTTAATAGAAAGAGAAAAACAATAAAATAAAACCCTAAACCATTATGTCTTTATACCTCCTGTGCGCCATAACCGTCATCTGCAATTCCGCCGTAGCCGCAGCCACATCCGGCCGTCTCTGCCATCCGGCGTTCCTGGTCCAGTGTCCTGCCCGACGCAGCACTTCGCCGCCTGATATTGTAACAAATTAATGGCATGGGAAAAAGGAAAACCCATGTCTCGTCTCGTATAGTAGATGGTGTTCTCCCCCCAATCCATCTAGTAGCAACGAGGATAACCTCCATCCCGCCAACCAAAGCTTCCGCGCGTCTCCATCCCATGTTGCTAATGTTGCTATCCGATCTTGTGGGATATTTTATTATTAACATTATATTGGATTTTTTTTTAATATTTTAGGTTAATTGTTAACGATTTTGAAACTATTAGTAATAATATACTTTAATGTTGTTAATGTTTTAATGGGAGTTTCTTGACTATTGAATGTAAAAGTGACGTTTTCATTTAAAAAATATCATTGAAAATGACAAGATATTGTTAATAACGCGTCGGTTTTTATTTTTTTCTGCAAAACATTGATAACGTTATGTTACATCGATAACAATTGTCCAAAAATAATTAATATTTTAATTTCTAAGCATTATTAATATTCTATGCTTTATGTTCAAAATGACAAGATATTGTTAATAATGATTTCAATATCATTAAAAATCACTGGCAAAATAGTTTCTAATGCCACACTAAAAAACATTAATAAGTATTCGAGATTTTGAAAGTTGATATTGTGACATAAATTGTTATTGATATGCTGAAAATTATTAAAATTATATCTAATCATTAATTCATTATTAATGATTTCAAAATATTTATCAATACTTTAATGTTATAAGAGTTTGCATTAAAACGCTGCAATGACACTATTTATCCTTAATATCTAAACAATTGGCTTCGAAAATACAAGCAAAATTATTGATAATGATTGTAGATGGGTAATATGGTACATGTCATCAATAACATCGTTTTCAAAATGTCGATAACAATATAAAAATTATTAATAGCTTGTGTTTCACTTAAAATGAAACAAAAAAATCATTGATAATGATGAGATCTAATGGTCGTCAACCATATTGCATCTCCATCTCCGACGCACATAAAAGTAAAATCATTGATAATGACTAGAACGAATTGTAAATAATGTTACAACAGTTTACTGATAACTCCCTTCAAAAACCTTGATAACGATGATGCCATAATAATTACGGTACGGCAAGTCAAGTTACAAGATCGAAACATTAATAACTATCATGTATTTTGTTGACAACGTTAAAACTAAGATTATTTTTTTAACACAATCCACTTAAAACGTTCATGGTGTCATTAAAAAACAACTTGTATTGCAAAACTGCTGCTGATAATGATAGCATAGCTTGGTAACAATTACCAAACGATTTATTAATAATTCAACGAAAGCAAGTTACCAATCATGCTATGCAAATCTGAAATTTGAAACCCTAAACATGCAACGTATAATGCATGAATAATAGTATAATACAAAATTCGCCGACGGTAGCTGGACGCACTACGAGACTACGAGTTCACCGCCAAACTGGACAACAACAACACAAAGAAAACCGGGGACTGATCCGTAGACGCTAGCTGGACTGACGACGACCAAAAGCAACGTACATGTTAAGAAAATAGCAATCGACGATACTGGACGGATGACGACGACACAAAGAAATTGGGGACTTGTCGCCGGCGGTAGCTAGTGGACGTCGACGGTATGCTGTACCAACACGCAGAGCAATGTCCCGGAAGCGACCACGGTCGCGAGACGACCGGTGTACTCGTTGACAGTAAAGAATAGGCTGCAGACTGTGGCTGGAAACGAACGGACCGGCAGCAACCTTCCCTTTGGAAGCTTGAAGGAGGGAGGGAGAATATAAACATTCAGGAAGAAGAGAGAGTTTGAGGGAGGGAGAAACGAACGGCAGACAATAAACCTAAAACGTATCTCCTATTTAGGTCAAGTTTTTAAATTATTAAAATCTCCTAATTGCCCTTAACTTACAAATAACTACTATTAACCATAAACTAATTATTTATTACTTAAAATCGTACCAGCCAATAGGAGAAGTTTAAACATCTGCTTAAACTTTTGGGTTTAAGCACCAGAACCCAGGCCTTCGTTTGAGGAGGCGTGTTAGTGTTGTGGTATATGATCAACGATTGAACTTCTCCCAACAAATCGAGTTATTGGGATCAACTGGTATTCTAGTTTTCAGACATGTGCAAACTTCAAGCCCTTGTGACTGGCTTTCGTTTGAGGGGGCGTGTTAGTGTTGTGGTATATGATCATGGTATTCTAGTTTTCAGACATGTGCAAACTTCAAACCCTTGTGACTGGCTTTCGTTTGAGGGGGCGTGTTAGTGTTGTGGTATATGATCAACGATTGAACTTCTCCCAACAACTCTAGTTATTGGGATCAACTGGTTCATGACAAATCTGGTGCTTATGCTAATTAATCATGCTAAAACTGGCCCCCGCTCTTCCCTTGATGATAAATTAGTTATGGAATGAGTCGATTATTGTTTCAACTCTATCCCTAAATCTGCATATACTTCTTGTTTTTTTATATATAAATATGTATTTGCTTTATTAATAATGATTTATTTGCTTTATTAATCAGATGAAGCGGTTACACCATCCAGTTGGAGCTGATTAACAAGACAAATCGGTAGCCTATCAAACCAAACTATGCTCTCTTCCCCTCTCGACTCTGCATGAGCCATAATGTGCGCTGCCTCATTGGCTTCTCTGCAAATATGCTGCCAACTTCCATTTTCTGTATTGCTCAATAGTCTCCCTATGCTTCGACACAAAACTCCAACCTCATTCTTCTCCATACCCGGATTCTGCAGCAATTGGGCGAACTCAGTCGCCATTGCTTCAGCAGTCTCCACGTCCCAACCGCCCATAATTTTCCTCACTGCCGCCATAAGGAACTGGCCATTGGAGTCGCGCATCACCACTCTCAATCCTGCTCCATCATCGCCCAAAATGGCAGCATCAGTGCAAACTGATATATTTCCTTCGGTCGGCTTCTTCCAGCCTTTTCTCGCCTGTGATTCAGTCTGCTCTATCTTCTTTGTCTGATTAGATTTATAGTCTGTCAGTAGGTACTTTGCCCGCACGACTATCTCCTCTTCGGGTAGTTTTGCTCCATTAAACAGATGAGCATATCTTTCCTTCAAGAGATAGCATAAACAAATGAGCATATACTTCTTGTTTGATAAGATTGTCTAAAATTATTGAAGAGTAATATTTGGTGTACTAGTTATACTAATGTTAATAATCTCTTATGGTCAAAAAAAAAAATGTTAATAATCTCTTAAACTAAATATGGCTGTTGGCGGTTGGTTAATATTCTTTGGACTAAACATTCACCAGCCCAGAGAAAAGAACCCAAAACCCTACTCGGCCCAGAACCATGATCCCGGCCCAACGATGGAAAAAAAGACGTCGACTAAACACAGGGCAGCCACGCCGAAGTATGATATTTTTAGGAGGCTTTGGTCCCAATAAATCCATCTTCCAGTTCCCCAAACAACTGCATTTTCCTTACTCTTTTCCCTGTTTATGTTCCCTCCACCAGTGAATTACAGCACCCCAACTGCTTTCGTCCTCTGTCTCTCACAGTTGCAAGAACTTCAAAATTTAGAGGGGTTGCGATATGATGGATCGCATTACAGAACAACTGAGTATTCAATCTCTAAATTTAGTCAAGACTTGGAGCTGAGACATGTAGTGAATTCGAATGGCTGGCGCAAGATTTTCTTCAAACTTAGGAAGGACAAAGGCGTTGCTGTTACCCATCATAGAACCACCATAAGCTAAGAATGCCATTTGAACTTGAAAACTGCAGAGGAAGGGGAGAGAACCCCATTCACATATATCAAACAGAAAGGAGTTGTAGGAATTAAAGAGCCTTTCATATGTAGTGAATGATTGTCTTAACGACTAGAGAATGAAGGAGAAATGAGTACCTGGACAAAGCTGTTGATAATGGATAAATGAGCATCTCTCTTCAATCAATCGGTTCGAGGAAACGTAAATGATGGGAGTGACAATGTAAAGGGGTTTACAGGGTGTGGTAGCTAAGGGAGAAAACATCTCTGGAATAGGATGCAAGTCATCCTTGCAAAGCAATTTTCAAATAGCCTGCAGGTTCAGGTAGAAAAAAGAAAAACAGTTTATGATTAGTCTAATTATATGCTTCCAAGGTACAAGGAAAGATGATCCAAAGAACAAGGAAAATTAAAGAAAAGGGATAACTGCAACCAAACTAGCTAAAGTAAAATACCTTGAGATATGGGTGTGTGATGATGCTTCTTCTTCTTGTTGCTCTTCTTCTTCATGTTCTTGTTCTTGTTCTGCTTCTTCTTCTTCTTCCTCCATTTCCAAATAGCAGCCTTCCTTTTGAACATGTCTAGAATCAACTTGGATATTTGGGATGTGAGAAATGATGGGCCAGTCCTCAGCCGTGTTGCTTGTACATCTCCTAGATAGAAGATCACATCTAAATACGCCCAAAGACTCCAATGCAGTGAGCTTTTTAAGCCAACTTGGTAAGCACTTAAGGTTGTCACACCAGTCTATGTCCAGCTGCTGCAAATTGGAGGAAAACTGAAGCCAATTAGGTAGAGTCACCAACTTGGGAACACTTTGGACAACCAAGCATCGGAGGCTGGGAAGAAAACGGGGTGGCACGCTGTCATTCTCATCATTTCCTTTATTACCATCACCATAATCGTAGTCCTCCAGTTCCAAAACTTCACAAGATAGAATATGAAGCTCCTTGAGCGAAGGGAGATGTCGAAGAATAGATGGAGACAGAGTAGTCAAATTGCTACAAAACCATATGTTTAGTCTCTCAAGGGAAGTGAGTTGTGGCATCAACCCTTGCGGCAGATCATTCACGTATTGGAGACACAACTCATGAAATCGAGGGTGTGCTGGGGGAAGGGATGGAGAAATCAGAGAGGCACCAAACACACTCAACAACTCACTGCTCACATCCATCAACTCAACCTTCTTAAAGTTGATAAGAAAATGTGGGATGGTAACCATTTTCGGGCAGCCTTCGATCTCCAGGGTGGAAACCCGAGGTAACAGAGGCGACTCTTCCATATTTGCAAGAGACCAGCCAATTAAATTTGGGCAGTCCGTGATCTTGAGAGACTTGAGGGAGGGCAGAAACTGCAAATCCTTGTTTGAAGAAGATAGAGAAGAAAAAGGTAATGATGATACTGTCTCTCTCTGTACGTATGCTAGGCTCTCTAAGTTATACAACACCAATTCTTCAAGAGAAACAAAAGGATCCAGCGATGGCAGACTTTGCAGTTTCCCACAACAATATAGCTCGATGCGAACCAGATTCCTGAGAGAAGAGAACCAGCAGCTTGCTGTTGGAACACTCGTCCCGCCGTAATAACACAACTGTAACTCCTTTAAATTTGGATGTGGTTGTAATGCCTCTAATACTGACCTCTCGTGATCACATCTTCGAGCCACCATATTATTACTGTCATCACTCCACCATAGTTCCAAGTGTTGAAGTTGCGATTTCTCCTTTAAATTAGCTGCAGCTGCTTCGGATTTATCCTTCACCAATTCTAGGCCTTTAATAGTCAACTTCCCACTTAGGTTGTTCAGACTCTTCAATTCACCGAGACCAGCTAATCTGGAGTTTTTTGCAGCTGCTTCTGTTAGAATGAATAAAGACAATTCTCTGAGGAAGGAAAGATTGCAGATCCCGGCTGGTAAGTAAGTCAAACTCGAACAATCATCTAGGTAAAAAAAGACCAGATTGTATAGCTTCCCCAAGTCTGCCGGCAATAGTCGAAGATGTTCACATAAACACAGATTGAGCGTTTGCAAGTTTACCATTCTTGTAATTTCATTTGGAAGTATCTCCACCCCGTTCTTAGAAAGATCAAGGTACCTAAGATGTTTCAATTTATTGAAGGTAATAGAGAAAACCTCCATTTTAGCATCTCCAAGACCAAACACTCTCAGCCTAGTCATATTCAGGAAGATCTCACATCTTCCTTCCAACTTGACACCTCCCACAGCCACATTTATGATCATAAATGTTCGAAGCCTTGTTGCTTTAGCCAAGAGAGTTGGAATTTTCCATACTCTAGTCTCCCATTTGTTCTCAAAATCAATTGACAGGTGCCGAATTCTTTCAAGGTTGACAATCCCACTGCTGAGAAGGCTATCCGTGAGATTTATAGCATTCAAACAGATGGTATCCATCCCTGCAACTGTGACAGCAAGGTCATGCATTAAATCATGCATCTTACAATATTTCATATTCCCGTATTGGTCCTTTGTCACCTCTTGAAAGAAGGACCTCCACAACAGATTCTTGAAATGTTCAACTCCAACATCTTCAAGTAGTGAAAATTGACCGGACTTGATGATATACCCTTGTGCCATCCAAACCTGTACCAACATCTTCACATCGATCCTATGATCTTTTGCGAACAAGCTACAGTAGGCAAAACAACGCTTTAATTGAGATGGCAAATTATCATAACTCAACCTAAGAGTAGCAGCCAAAATTTCACTATCTTGTCCACTGAAATCTAGGCTCAACAACTGCTTTTCTCTTATTGCCTCCCACTCAGACTCGGTATCTTTGAAGGATAGAAGACCCCCCATTGTTCTTATAGCTAATGGCACTCCACAACATTTCCTCGTGACCTCTTTCCCTATCTCAATATATCTTGGACCCGGCGCAACTCCTCCCTTGAAAGCCATCTTCTCGAACAAAGACCAAGACTCGAGCTCAGACAGACCTTGCAACTCATGTGGCACAATCATCTCAGTTGCTGTCATCTTTGCAACAATTCGAAGACGAGTGGTCACTACAATTCTGCTACCTTCCGCTGCACCACTTGAGAATATATTTATAAAGCGAACCCACTTTTCTGTATCCTCATTCCAGACATCATCCAAAACTAACAACAACCTTTTATTCTTGATGTGCTTGTGCAGAAGATCCTTGAGCGTGTTCAAGGCAAGGTCTTCCACCTTTTGTTGGGTAATGGACTCCAAAACATTTTTAACCATGACTTTTGGGTCAAAAGTTTCAGAGACGCATACCCAATGTGTGCAATCAAAATGAGACTGGATTTTGTTGTCATTGTAAATCAATTGCGCCACTGTTGTCTTCCCCAATCCCCCGATTCCAACAATGGGGATGACTACAACTTTTTCCTTATTACCAGACAATAGTAACATGTCTATTATCATCTGCTTATCTCCTTCTCTCCCAACAACCACATCAGGGACAGAAGAGTGAGTTTGCCTCCAATCCTTGTTAGCAGCAACTGGATCCACAGGACGTGCCTGGAAATTGAATTGATTCCTATTCTGATCAACCTCCTCTAACTTGCTCCGAATCGCCTTAATTTGATTAGCAATTCTCAATCCATAAGCAACTTGGTTGGATGGAGAAAAGAAGAGACCTACCTCATTCACCATGCCATTGACACCCATTTGTTGTTTCTTCCGGAGAACCTCTGTAGAGAAATCGTCCAGCAGGTCTTCAGCATCATAAAGGACTTCTTCCAGTCCTTGCAGCCATAGCTGAACCTGATGACTCTTACCAGCCTGATTATCTGCATCTAGCAACACAGCTTGGATGCTGGAAACCGTGCTTGCAAATTTTGGAATCTCGCTTCTGAGACCCCAAAGGAGGCTTGTTTGATCAGCAGCAAGGGAACTCAGCTTATGGAGGACCAACTCAGCGAGAGCAGCTGCCATTTTTGGTTAGTAGGGAAAAACAAGGAAAAGCAGCACAAAAAGGGTGGTTCCGTTGTAAGCGAGTTTTGAAGGGATGGTACAAGAAAAGAGATGGGATATTTGCAGTGGAGGAAACGAAATCTGAATATAGAGGGCAATATCTAGATGTGATATGTGTGATGATTCATAATATGAACCCAGCACTGAGATCAAAGATCCAACATGAACTTCCGTCTTTCTATTAACTAATGTAAATCCACTTGACTTGCGAACCAACTGAACAATGCACATGTGACTGCACTGACAGGTACCCTCAAATCCTTGATTTAAGAATGAGACACTAGTCCTTAATCATCTAGTTTTTTCTGATACAAGAACAAATCCCACCTTTAGTTAAACTGCCTTCATCAGCTGAGCAGGTGATCCATTGACTTCTGGTGAGTGGTTGCCACTCGCCATTAAATTTACACTATTCAAAATAGTCGTAACTTGCAACATTATTATGAGTGCAATAACACATTAAAAACTCAGCTCATTAAAAGCAATCGCCTTTTGCTCATACAGTTACCATGTTTTGAGAATAGCAGAGGCACAGGCATCATCGTTTAACTAGTTCTGAGAATAGCATGATGTGTATAACTAGTTTTGCAATTTAACTCTGCCCAACAATAGCAACAGAAGAACTTGAAAGGGAAATCTACTGGTAGAAAACTCGCCAAGGAAATTGAACCAGAATTGAAACATTTGGTAGCAAAAATGAATGGTAAGCTACAGGCCACAGGGAAGAAGTAAAAACCTTGTTTTCTCAAATTTGATCTGGGATTTGATGGCTGTGACCCTGAACTGCTGTTTCTTTCAACTTTATGCTGTTCGAGCTTCCTTCTCCTTATGGCGTTGCGCTTTCTTTGCGGATAGAACTCATTCAAACACTTGGCATGCACCATTTTTCTCCGATTGAGAATGTTTTCGATCACTGAAGGTATCCGGAAGCTGCAATAATTTATACGGATATCATCCATACCACAAGGACTTCTGAAACCCCCATTGGCCATTCTGATTTGCAGAATATGGACGCAGCCAGCGAACAGCAACTCGCCTCCAAATGCTGGTTTCCGGAACTCCCGCCGACTCCAAAGAGTTTCCTCCGCTATGGTGATCGGAAACCATCACGCCGGAGAACGGGTAACGATTCGCTGGACAAATTCAATCCTCGCAGCGCATTAGAATCGCGTCCATTTGGACCGACGAAACCGGCTCTGTCGATCACTCCATCGCAAGAAGCAATTGCGAGGGAATTATACCCCGGGGAAAATTACTTTACACTTTGGGATTTTAGTCATTTAGGTTGTTCGGCTAGAAGGTTAGATTACATATGGAACCATGACTGTGTAAACATATATTTTGTTTCATTATATTATTGAATATACGAAAGTGGGTGAATTGCAAGTTTGGTCACTCATATTATCTATTCGTAACATGTTAGTCACTCGAATTACTTTCGCTTCAATTTAGCCACTAATATTACATGTTTATGTCATCTTTAGTCACTCGCCGTCTAGTTCCGTTAAATCTGTCCTACGTGGCGGTCAACAGTTACATTTTGACTGTTAAAATGGTGATGTGGAATTAAAAAATAAATAATAATTATTTAAGAATTCCAACTCACAAAAAGAGAAAGGGAGAGAAAGAAACCAACGGGGCAATTCATTCGCTCTTTCTTCTTCAATTTTTTTTTTTTTTTGCCTTTTCTTCAACGATGCTTCTTCTCCTTCCACGACGAACCAAGACAACTGTTGCAGCAGCGCGGATCGATGACGGCGTAGGATGGCAGGGATTGACGAACGCCGACGATCTGGGCGAAGACCGACACTGGGCGACGATTTGACGAAGATCCGACGATCTGGGCAAAGACCAACGATGGGCGACGATATGGTGAAGATCCTTAGAGCTGGGCGGAGACCAGCGCTGGGCAACGATCCGACGAGATCCGAGGATCTGGGCGAAGATAGTGCCGGCGTTGATTAGAGAGATCAGGTGGCGTATGTAATTTCATGTTGTTGTTGTTCTGGTTTGAGCTTTTGGAATGGTGATATGTGAATCAGTTGGAATTTTGTTTATGCTTTTTTATCTTGAGGAGCCGAGCAACAGAGGGGTTGGACATTAAAATAGATTAATTTTTATTTTATTAATTATTTTTTAATTGTCACGTCACTAAGTTAACGGTTAACTTTGAGAGTTGACTGCTACATCAGCTAAAGTTAACGGAATTGGACGGAGAGTGACCAAACATGAATGATTTCAGTCAACTGAAGTACTACCAATGGATTTAAATATTTCGAGTGACCAAACTTGAACATTTTTTGTAATCTCAGTGACCAACCATGCAATTAACCCTAATTTAAGGGCATTGCTATTCGTCGCCCTAAAATTTCTTATTTGTCGCCCTAATTAAACTAAATTTACTTTAATGTCCTTTGTTTCATTTATTCAGTCGATAATTATCATAAACTCTCATACGAAAGCGGTGGAGGCGACGCAACTACCGGTGGCCGTTTTGGGTATGAAACTCCAAAAAAACGATAACATTCTTTGAACTCCCAGCTCTAAATCCCCAAATGGCCAAATCACATCCACTTTCTGTCTTTATCTCTTTCTCAGTTTGTCGCCGACCCAGTTGCGATTGGATTAATTGCTTCGATTTTGAATTGTTTGTTGCTCTACTCTGCGCGACAATTTTCTTGTTTTGGTTCCACATTGGTTTTAGTAGTAGGGTCTTTCTTTTATTAGCAGACATCAAAGAGAAATGCTCTGTACTAGCTTAGCTAAAAGTTTGTTGATGATTCTATTAACTGGAGAAAGGTAGGGAGGTGGTTCGCCACCACGATTGGGCGCTTCGGCTGGGGACGCGTTGCCACCGGGGTTAGTGGGCATCTCGGTTGTGGTTGCCGTTGTTTAGTGGGGAAAAGGAGGTGAAGAAGGTTCCTGTTATTGTTTAGCTCAAAAATCGCTTTTGAGAACAGTGGAAAAGGGGCAAGGAAAGAAAGAAGGAATGAAGAATTTAGAATTGGAGAAACTCCGACACCGACAACAGAACAGAGCATCAGCGACAGGTGGGTTCAGGTGGGCAGCGCCGTAGATAAGGCACCGGCTATGGTAGCAGCGGTCAAAGGACGGAGAAGCTCAGCTCGCCGGCCGCTGGGCAGGGGATAGCAGATTTTTTGTTTAGGCTTTAGGTTGAAATGGGAATAAGGGTAAGAATGTCAATTTAGTGTATTTTAGGGCGATAAAATTTAAATTTTAGGGCGATGAATAGCGATTCAGTAATTTAATTAATTGGAGAGTGGAAGTATTTGGAAATTCACTTTATAAAAGTAAATTTCACATGTGTTATCACTTTTTTACATAATCTTCTTCACAAATATATAGAGTCAAACACCTTTTTGCAAAGAAATCTCAAATTATAACATATTACCAATTTACAAATACTTCGAATCGCACCCATAAATTGAAAATAGAAAAGGAATACTAGCTAGCAGCTATCAATTGCACTGCATTTCCAAAGAATCTGAAACTATTCAATATACTTCAATACAGGCGAATAAGGAAGTGTCTCGTCAAACTCTTTAATACAACTCAATGTCAAATCAATTGGCTATTTTGTGCACTCCCTTGCAACCTAATTAAGCAGAGCCATTAACAGAAATCTTGAGTCCTAACTTAACTTGTCAGCATGACACCTTCACAATTGACTCTTAGCCACCTACTAAGTTGACATACAATCTACACTACGGCTTCCTAACGGCTGAACTCAGCGTTACACATAAAATCCTAAGAGTTCTGGGCATGGTTGAAGAGAATAACCCACCCAGCTACGGAGCATTACAAAGCTTTGGCTGTACTGGGTTCTTCAAAAGTCGTCAAGTCTCGCTCACCAAGGCTGCCCTCTCCCTCCAATCCGGCGGGCCAAATCGAGATCCTTCTTCACTGAAGCATCAGATAGGGTATCAGCAAGAAGATAAGTAATAAGTTAACGAACAAGGTCAAGACTCGGGATAAAGAGACAGAGTAAGTAGCCGTCAGTGGGTAAGATATACTCTATGAATGAATCCTCCCTGGCATTGTGTACTACTATGGGTAAATTCTAAAATGAGCTGGATCCACTTGGCTACATCCGACTCAAAAAGAAACCTACTGTCACCGGAGAATCGTCGCCACTATCATTTCAGACATGGCATGATGGTAGCTAACAGGGGAGACATCATCACTAACCGGCTGGAAGGTACCAACCGAGTTTGAAATAAAGCTAATCACCTTTAAATTACACACGGATGATCAGAGAATCCAAGAAAAATACAACTACAATAGGGGTTGAGATAAACTTACTCAATGTAACACGTTTAGCATGAACTGCACACAGCATACCATCTTCAAACAAGTGAACCAAGAAATCCTCTGCTGCCTATGGAACAAAGCAGTTCAAATAATAGGCTCAGGGTTCAAGTGATTTGTCAAGAAGTTCAAGTCATAAACTGCGATGAGTAAAAGAGAACGTAACCCAGCTACAGTAGAGCTTGAAACGTCCCTAGGTTGTTTTTTTAACTTGCATGGAGAAGCACTTGAGAACAATGTAATAAGTGGTCATGGTACCTCTTGAAGAGCCACGAGTCCTTCAGCTTGCCAACGGTTTACTTCCTGGCTAAACTCTTGGGTGACTTGTCTTACCTAGTCAGAAAAATGACGGTAAGGGCCACAAACAACAATAAACTCGAATTCTGCAATTGCACACTTTGATAAAATCATCTATAAAAACTTCATCTGTGTTGCTATCAACAAGTATGAACATAGGTATTCGCCATAAATTTGAAAGAGCTCTCCCCACTTGAGACACAAACTACGTCAAACAATCCTCTAAAAGCAGCTTCCGGGAGCTTTCCATGTAGAACCAACAGGCTTAAGGAAAGATAGCGAATACTCATTGGTGAGATCCTATGGTCAGCCAAGTTGAGCAAGTATACATGAGACCCAGAGACAAACTAGTTGGATTACCAGTCGAGTAAAGTTAGAAACAGGGATCACGAAACCAGTAGTCTTCTGATAAAAACGAATTTCTCGCAGAGCTCGCGTTCCAGGCCTCAATCGACGAGGCTTCCTCTGCGGGCGACCTTCAACAAACAAAAAGGAAATGCAAGATGAAACACCCACAATAAACGAACAGGCAAATCTGAGGTGGGGAAAAGAAAAAAGAAACCACCAACTTTGTGAACCAGCTTCTTCTCCTCCTCCTCCTGCTGCTGCTGCTCTCCTAGGTGATCTGCTTGGTCTGGGAGTCTTAAATTGGACAGGAAAGAAGACTGGAAATCAATCGATTTGACGTGCAACATTAGAAAACCAAATTAGGGTTCCTGCAACTACTCGAGAGTCTAACTGAAATCCGAGTGTCTAAACTAAAATGCTTTTCCCCAAGTACTGGAATCGAGGAGTGAAACCTAATGGGTTCACCCCTTTCCAGCTTTCTCGCATTTTCTACGCAACCAAACAGACAATCTAACCCCATACAAAACAAACACCAGAAATATATCACAGAGGGAAAGAGAGGGTACCGACGACGGCGGCGGCGAGGAGGACGGCCGCGGAGTCTTCTTTCCTGCAGTCAAACGAAACGGAAGAGGCAGAACTTTAAAAAAAAAAAATTCGCCGTCTCTATGTCTCACTGAAGCTTAAACGCAAACACTTGGGCGGCAGATGGAGAAAAAAGTGGCTATGGAAGCAGGAAAACTTGAAGAACGGCGTTGTGCAAAAACTCAAACCGGGTTGCTTCCGAGATTGACTCCGAGCAGCTTGATGCTTGGTTCTCGCCATCGTCTTAGTCCCCGAAGGCGAAAGAAACGAGAAGGGAACGACAGAAGCGACCTAGGTGGTAGGGGCAGATTCGAATTCGATTCGATTGTGCTTTTGGGGGGGAGAACGGAGAAACTTTCGATTTTTATTTTTTAAGTCACTTTAAGACACCACTAGGTTAAAGTGTTAATGTGTTATCTACACAATGGCTTCCTAACGGCTAAATTTCTTTAGACAGACCGTTGTTGCTCAGATGGTCGAACCGAAACCGAGCCAACCAACACGGGTCGACGCTGAGTTGGTACGCGAAAAAATAAACATATAAGCTATAACGTTTATTTGGGTTAATTGCAAGGATGGTCACTGGGTTTACTAAAACCGTTCATGTTTGGTCACTGCAAATATTTAATTCCATTCATGGTCACTAAGATTAGTTCAATAGTTCAAGTTTGGTCACTCTCCGTTAGTCTCCGTTAGTTTTTGCTGATGTGGCAGTCAACTATTATAGTTGACCGTTAAATAAGTGACGTGGCCATTAAAAAAATAATAAAATAATAAAATTTAAATATTTACAATTTCCACCTCATTTTACAACTATTAAAAAATAAAAATAAAAATAAAACTTACCTCCCTCCTCCCCTGCCACTCACTTCCGAATCCAGTACCACCCCGTTTTTCCCGTCGGCCACGGTCCCCGCCGCCACGTTGGGTGACATAATTCTGTGGAGGCGCCCCGTATGGAGCTCGCTCGTCGTTACCGTCGCGTCGGCGACTTGGGTTCTGTTCGACGTCTACAAATTCAACTTCGTCACCGTCGTGGCGTGGATCGGCATGGCGGTCGTCACTTCCCTCTACCTCTACGGCCACCTCGTCAGGCTTTTCCGGAAGTAGTGAAGTTTTACAAAGCTAATTAATTTTTCCCCCACTCTCAAATCGTCCCCTTAGTGTAATTAAAAGTGCTGTTTTTTTTGGATGTTTAAGGGAAGAGCCGGATCTGATGGACAGGCAATTCATGAGGGAGGAGAGAGTGGTGGAGGCGGCCAAATCGACGGATACGCTCCGAATTCCGATGTAGTAAAATGTTGGGGACAGTGGGTTGACGATTAACGGCGTGTAACACATCGAACCCGTACTCGAAACGTTTCGGGCTTGAGAATGAGAAGAGTCGCCGATCATGAGGTAGCTGGTCGGCGGCGGGGCGAGGGTGTAGTCTCGGAGGCAGTAGGAGAATTTGTTATAGCCGAAACGGCGGCCCAGCTGAGAGGAGAACGAGATCGGGCCTCTCCCCAGCCCCATTACTCCCTGGGCGCCGTTGAAGCTCCGACCCGTCATGCTGGGACCCGAGACCCGGAACCCGCACCCGAACGCGAGATTCTTCAGCTTCGTCTCCCCCAATGCGCTCGTATTGAGCGTCATGGTTTCTCTGGAGGAGGAGGAAGAGGACGAGGAGGAGGGAAGAGAAGGGGGACAGCGACACCATTGCTAGCTGGGTTTTGGAAAGAAGGGGGTGGTCCAGTGGCAGAGGAGGAGGAGGGCAGAGGTAAGTTTTATTTTTATTTTTTAATAGTTGTAAAATGAGGTGGAAATTGTAAATATTTAATTTTTTTTATTTTTTTAATGGCCACGTCACTTATTTAACGGTCAACTATAATAGTTGACTGCCACATCAGCAAAAACTAACGGAGACTAACGGAGAGTGACCAAACTTGAACTATTGAACTAATCTTAGTGACCATGAATGGAATTAAATATTTTCAGTGACCAAACATGAACGGTTTTAGTAAACCCAGTGACCATCCTTGCAATTAACCCGAATAACCCCGTTTATTTGGTTTGGTTCCAATTTGATTCGAACTATTTATTTATTTTTAGAGTTAACACCTTAATTTTGGCTCGAACTATAGACAAATTTCTACTTGGGCCCGTGGTATTGAAAAATGTTATTCTGGCATGAACTATGTAGTATACTTCCTTATTTGGCCTGGAGGCGGGTTTGACCGTCAAATTGAACGGTCAATTGAGTTGACCGTTAGTCAAGGTCCAACTCACTTGCCACGTAAGCTAGCAGGGAATAAAAAGTTAATTTTTTGTATTTTTTGTATTTTTTTACTTTCTAATAATAAAAAAATTAAAGAAAAAAGTAATTCAAAATACATAGAAATTCAAAATACAGAAATTCAGGAAAAAATATTTTTTTAAAATATTTTTTTTTGTTTATTATTTTTATTATTAGAAAGTAAACAAAATACATAAATTCAATTTTTTTTATCTTCTGCTAGTTGACGTGGCAAGTGAGTGGACCTTGACTAACGGTCAACTCGATTGACCATCTAATTTGACGGTCAAACCTGCCTCTGCCTCTGGGGCAAATAAGGAAGTATGCTACATAGTTCTACATAGTTCAGGCCAGAATAACAATTTTCGATACCACAAGTCAAAGTAGAAAATTTATCTATAGTTCGGGTCAAACTAAGATATTAACCCTTCTTTTTATCCTCTGAAAATCCAACCAAGTAATGGGATGAGGTGGGTAGCCTAGTTCAAGCCTCAAGGTTCAATCACAGAACCCTGTACACAAAACTGTAGAAAATGGATTCTGCAGAGAGATTTAATTAACTTATTCTCAACGCCAAGGAGACAACAAGGACTAACAACTAAAGTTACAATGGAAGTATCCCCAAGAACCTTCAACCTTACAAGTGAAGGAAGCCCATCTCCAACATGCACAAAACTTGTCAGGCTTCTCAGGATCCTAATCCTCAACAAGAACCAACTTCAGTTCATTTCAAGCTCTCGCACTGGAACCAAAAATGGACAACATCCCAAGTCACAGGTTGCTTCTCAAAATACCTGTAGTGGTCAGAGAAACAAAAAAAAGAGGGTAAAGTAGCCTATACACATGAGATGGCCCAAACCCAAAAGCTTCATTACATCCTCACTTTCATATTCATGCGAAGGAGAGAGAACTGGTTGGACCTGAGCTCTCTTCATCACAGCATGGATAGTGAAGAAGATCCAAGAGAGGTTAGATTAGAACATGGTTTTAGAACAGAGTGAATTACTTACCATTTGGGCCAAATGAACTTAGTTGTTGTTTCTATTCCACTCCCAGAACTTGAGACAGTTTAAACCCCTATCATGAATTGCATATAAAGAAAATAAGGCCATCAGTTTTTACGCAACAAACTAAAACTAGACGAGAGCCACATCATATGGGTAAACAAAATAAATGACAACTCCTCCATTCCGTCTAATTTTTTCCTTCATAAATCAGAGAGCTTAATTGGTCACAAAAATTGTCGAGAAGGACTTCTTTTCACTTAAGCTGGGAATGGGCTTTGTACTCAACAACTGCGACCACACCGTAGAATAGGCTTCATCAAGGCCCAATGGAAAGGGGAAGAGACTGGATACACCCATTCGCCATAGTTTACGTCGGTTAACACTTCTTCGACGAACATCTGGTTAGGACTATCAGAGGAATGCTGATGGAAAGGGGAAGGGATTGGATATACCTTATAATGATGACCATCGCCGGATCCTCCATCGGTGACGCTTCCGCTCGTACCGTCAGTCGTCTCCTTCTCCGACTTATCAACCATTATTGAAACTCATCCGAATCTTCAGTTCAGCTCTGATACCATGTAAAGAAACTAAAGCGTAAAAGAAAAGACACTCGAGTTTACGTGGTTTCCCCGTTCTGTGAAGAATTGAGACTACTCCACGGAAAACTCCATAAGGAGCTTTCGGTTTTCTTTTATTATTGACTTTGCTACTCTCTACATCAAGCTACTCGCATCAACCAACAAAAGGCACATATATATGCCCTACAACAGCCGTAAGGTTGCAACATACAAACCTAAAACGAAATAGTTTAGGGAAAATTACAATCACCTCCCTAAACTATAGCACTATTACAATATAAAGTAGTTGTTAATTTTGAGAATTATGAAAACTCTACTACATGCTACCACATTTTGGTCGGACATTTTGATATCACATCACGAATAAATTTATCGTAAAAATGTGACTAGTTTGAATAAATCCAAACATTAATTTTATATAGCTACTTAAACATCTTGAACTATAAAATGTGGGTTAAGAAAACAACCATACGAGATAGAAGAAAAAAACTTCTAACCCTCTTTATCCTAGTGAAAAGAGAAAATTGTCTAATCGACATATAGAAAAAAATGTAAATTAAGAAGAAGAAAATATTTTAAAGTAAGTCATAACAAGTCTAATGATGCATCATCCAACACCCCACCAGACCTCTAAGCAAATTTGCCCTATTTATTATATACTAATTAATTAGTGGGTGGAACTAACAATGTGATATGTCGAATTTTGGGAATGAAAAATGAATAGATGATATAGTAACAATCAGCTGAAGGCTTGTAATCAACAATCATGAACAAAGAAAAAACAAGCCAAATTTCCCGACGTGATAGAATAACAACCGTGGCAAGAGCTCAACCCTTCTTTATCACAATTATATAGTTTAGTAGCGGGTAAATGACACATTTGGTCACTGAGATTATTAAATTGTGTCATGTTTAGTCACTAGAAAAAATTAATATCAATTTTGGTCACTCTAATTATCGAAACTGGTCAAATTTAGTCACTCTCCCGTCAGTTTCCGTCCAACTCCATTAATGTAGTTGGACGGAAACTTTTGGGAGAGTGACTAAATGTGACATGTTTCAGTAATACGAGTGACTAAATGTGACATTTTTCAATAATTCGAGTGACCGGAGTTGGACAGAGACTACAGAAGAGTGACCAAATGTGACCTGTGTCAGTAATTCGAGTGACCAAAATTGATATTAAATTTTTCTAGTGACTAAATATGACATGATTTAGTAATCTCAGTGACCAAATGTGTCATTTACCCGTTTAGTAGCAAAGGGGGACAATCCACATGCAAATTCAAGCCATCAGACAAACAATCAATTCATGGGTTTTTTTGGAGTTGTATAAGTGAGTGTATGCATGTTATGTAGCTCGCTATGCACACATTTAGGTTTTAGAAGAAGCATGAATTAATGAAGCAATGACTTCTAAGTTCTAATGTTGGGGAAATTAGACACAAGATAGCCCTACTTTCTTCGTTAATCCCAACATTCCCGTTTTGATCATTTCCTGAGAGGCTAACATGTATCCTTTAAGAGATTGCATGCGCATTCTTATTTTCCTTTTGGGCAAGCAAAACGCTATAATGTGACACTATAATGCTTCGAGTTACATCGTGTGGAAATATGAAATTAGATAAGTTTAGATTTAGAGCTGGAATCAATCGATTTGTCAATAATATGTAAGTCGTAAGAAGAGAAAATGTTACTAATTCATGATTGAGGTAATCATTCATGAATTATCTTCCAAACTGAATCATTATATAAGTGTCCTAATTTCTTATTTCACTTCTCATTGGCGGACACATGAGAGTTTGGGGGGAAATTATTGACCACTTGTTTGCAGTTGAATTTAGGATAGGTGCGGGTTTATGATTTTTAGGGGTGTACAGGATACCCATAAAATTTGTGAAAAATAGGGTATAATGTCATGCCCAATTCTAGTTAATTTATAGTATAAATAACAAACTCTATGGGCATATGATATGGTAAGCGTACGTTTGGTGTAAAGTACCAGCCCTCCGACTAGAAAAACCTCTTATTGGAGGCAAAACCGCCATGAGGTATTTAGTGGTATGAAATGGTGGAATCCCAATCAAACAACGATTTTAATATAAAATATTTCAACGCTGACTTTTTCGTTACAACCTAAAATCTAGGGTACAACATACCCTGAGTAAGAAAATGCTATTTAGACCTTGAATTAACCGGATGTTTAGGCATGATACTATACCGTAACCCTTGATGAGTGAACTCTAGGACATAGTTATCTAAATCATAGAGCCTAACCCCTGAGATTATGCATGTAATTTTTTTGCATATATTTCAACTAATCATGACGGTCGATTTTTGTTTCTTATTAAATAGATCTCAGTGTATGAAATCTATATAAACCGGTTAATTCAAGGTCTAGATATCATTTTTATAGATATCATTTTTATAGGTAGTAAGCTACAATGATCTTATCTGGTTTTC